CTCTCTCTCTCTCTCTCTCTCTCTCTCTCTCTCTCTCTCTCTCTCTCTCTCTCTCTCTCTCTCTCCCCCTGTTTCCCGTATCTCCCCATGGTACGTCTGTTTTTTTTTTTTTTTGGTGCCCGTCTGATCACCTCTCACCCTCCCTAGCATGTGACAGGGTACGGGAAGCGGAGGGGGGGCGCACAGTGTTCGTGATCATGCTGATGATGACCGTGGACAAGACAGGGGACGGGCAGGGAAGTGGTGATGTTCATGAAGGGGTCGACGAAGATCCCCTGATAGTCCTCAAGAAGAGAAGGAAGGATGTAGAGGAGGGATGCAAGGGCGTCACTCATCCAGATGAGGGAGAAGTAGGGAGGTCGGGAGCCGTGAAGGCGAGATCAGAAAGATGTGCCACATCGGGGAGCAGGATCGGGATAGGGGGAGATCGGGGTCGGGGGAGGTGGGAGGATCGAGGCCCGGGGAGCAGGATCGGGATAGAGTGCGATCGGGGAGCTGAAAGAGGTGCCAGACCGGGGAGCAGGTTCCGGATAGGGAGACATCGAGATCGGGGAAGGTGGGAGGATCGACGGCCGGGAAGGAGGATCGGGATAGAGGGAGATCGGGATCCGGGAAAGTGGATCGAGGCCGGGTCAGTGGGAAGCAGCATCGAAGTAGACATCAAGATGAGCAAGACGCTGGATTGTGGTAGAGGGAGGTCGGGATTGGGGAGGCGGGAGCAGAAAGAGAGGGAGATCGGGATCGGGGAAGGTGGGAGGATCGAGGCCGGGTTAGAGGGAAGTGGCATCGGAGCGGACATCGAGACGAGCAAGAAGCCAGATTGGGATAGAGGGAGGTCGGAATCGGGGAAGGCGGGAGGAGAAAGAGGTGGTGGTGGAGGCACGAGGTGAAGCGAAGCGGAAGAAAACAGGGAAGTATGGGAGAACAATCGGAGAAAAGGCGGAGTTGTCGACCATATGGGGGAAGCGGAAGAATACGGTGAACGGTTTGGGAGCGGGGGGGGGATGGGGAAGTGATGCGGAGATCTTCCACATGGATGGGGAGGGGATGGGGGAAGCGATGCGGAGATCTTCCACATGGATGTTTCCTACGGCGCTGTGCCACTAACAAAGAGGATTGGATTGGATTTGCTTTCAGGCCTGAATCTGGACGTGTTTGTGGAGAGATACAGATAATCGCGATTGATCTGCCTTTCTGCATCTCTGCATAAAGCCGGTCCAGATTCAGGCGCTTAATCCAATCCCTCTTTGCTAATTGCATTGCGTCTGTGACCTCTGGACTGAAATATATAAAAGATCGGGATTCTTTGCGCTTTTTTTTTTAAATACTTTTTTTTGCTTTTTTTTCTTGCTCTGAACCCCATTTTGCCATTTCTGTATCTGACTGCGAAATTCACCTCAATGTGGGCACAATAGCCCCGCGTTTTTTTTTCTTTAAAACAGAAAGAAAAACCCTTCCTCACTTCAGCCATCCGCGTGTCGATCGCAGCAGTCTGCCACGTGTCGATCACATAGCACAGCAAAGGATCACTTCGTTATCGCTCCTCATCAGATGCAATGGAATAGATAATGGACCTCTCTCTCTCTCTCTCTCTCTCTCTCTCTCTCTCTCTCTCTCTCTCTCTCTCTCTCTCTCTCTCTCTCTCTCTCCCTCTCTCTCTCTCATACACACACACGCACATCCACGCACACAATGTGTTGCGCACACACTCCTTTCTCTCTCCCCCCCCCCCCT